GCTGAAGCCCAAGGCTGAGGGGCTTTCACCCAGCCCCTAGGGCCTGGCACTTTGAACTTGGACTTAAAGCCTCCAAACTGTAAGAGAATAAACTCTTGTTTGTTAAGGCCATCTCATTTGTGGTATATTCTTGTCAGAGCAGCACTAGGTAACCAGAACACTCTGATGCTAATTAAAAGGTTGGCAGTTCGAACCCACCATTCACTCCCACGGCAGAAAGATGTGACAGTCTGCTTTCATAAAGATTTACAGCCTTGGAAACCCAAATGGGCAGTTGTACTCTATCCTATAGGGTTGCTGTCAGTCTGAATCAACTTGACAACAATGGGTTTTTTTTTAAGGGTTGAAAGACTCATTCATTAAACAAACATTTATTGAGTGTCTACAATGTGCAAGACACTCTGCTGAGGGCTAGGAATACAACCATAAATACAACACAATCTCAGTTGTCAAGAAATTTACAATCTGACAGGGAAGACAAATATGTAAGTAACTGTAAGCAGAATGTCAATAGTGTTATAAGAAATAAGTCAAAGTACAATGAGAACCCAAAAGAAAAAACAATCAATTCTGACTGGTGGGCAAGAAAGTTTTCCTGTGAGAGAGGAAGCTCTGACTGGGTATTGAAGGAGATATAGAGAAAGGAGGAGGCAGGTACATTCTTCTAAGGAGGAGCAGTATAGGCAAATGCGTGAAAGAAAGAAAGAAATTCCACTAGGCTCAAACAGTAAATTTATTCTAATACGACTACAGCTTAGGACATACTGGCAGGAAGAAGTCAAAGAGATTGACTTAAATCAGATTGAGAAGACCTCTGAATGCCGTCCAAAAGAGTTTAAATTTGTTCCTATGAATGTTATGGGATCACTAAATAGTTTTCAGCAGGAAAGATATGAAAGATGGTGTTATACAAAGATCACTGTGGCATTAGCATGGAAGATAGTTTGGCTAGAAGTGGGAGGAGGGGGGAACCTGGAGGTAGAGTCCAGGTAGGAAGCTACAGCTATAGGCTCAATAAGAGATTACGAGGGCTCAACTGCAGCACTCACACTGGGACAGACAAAATTACTTACTCTGCACCATGCACTGCTTAGTTCATTTAATTCATAGCCCTAATAAGCAGTACAAACATCTGGACAAGAGATTCAGTTGCTCAAGGTCATGTAGCTAGTAGTAAAGCCATAATTAAACCCATGCAGTTGGCCTCCAGACTGTTCTCTTTCCACACCATATATCCTCCAGGGGAGTGCTTCTCAAGTTTCAGTAAAAAATTTTCATTCTAATTTTAACACAAATCCTTCAGGGATCTTGTTAAAATGCAATTCAGTATGTCTGATTTGAGGCCTGAGATTCTGTATTTTTAACAATTTCCCAGGTGATGCCAGTGTTGCTGGTTTGAGGACCAGACTCTTTGACCAAGTCTCTAGGGAACTCCTAGATCAACAAAGGGCTCTAAAGTGAAGATACAAATCTGAGAGTCATCCCTCTATAAATAGTAGTTAAAACCTTATGTCTAGACTGAAAAGAGGGCTAATTAAGGGATGAGAGGGGATAAAGATAACTCAGAGTAAAGAAAGCTGAAGAGTGATTTAGTAAGGTAGGAAAAAAAATCTACCTACTTTGGCAAGTGAAGGTCACCATTGCCACCTGATATGACAGGGGCTTAGGCTATGAAAAGGATGGAGAAAGGGTAGGAGCTAGAAGGGAAAAGCACAAGGGTAAAAAAGAGGATTATTATTATTATTTTTTAAACACATTCAAGAAGATAAGCAGGTTTATAAGCATAAGAAATAGTTCAACTTCTTAGAATTTTTTAGTCCTCTCAAATACTTATATGTTCCTTTAACATATTTATCAAGCACATACTAATGGCAGGAACTGTTCTGAATCTTTGGATACCATTTTTATAAAATTCATAAAGTTCCATACTCTTGTGAACCTTCCAGTTTCATAATTGAAGACAAATAACGACCAAAATAAATAAACTGCATATACACACACACTGCTGTCAAGTTGATTCTGACCCATAGTGACTCTAAAGGACAGAGTAGAACTGCCCCACAGGCTTTCCAAGTCTGTAAATCTTTATGGAAGCAGAATGCCTCTTCTTTCTCCCACAGAGCAGCTTGTGGGTTTGAACCTCCAACTTTTTGTTTTTGGTTAACAGCTGAATGCTTTCCCCACTGTAACACCAGAGCTCCTACACTGTAGGTAAAAGGCTAGAAAAAAAGAAAAAGGAGAGGAGTGTAAGAGAGCTCGAATGCTGGAAAGAAGGTATGGAGAGTACAGTCTTAATAAGAGTGGGGCCTCACTGAACAGATGAGAGGAGGTAAGAACATGCCTGGTATGTGTGAGAAACAGCAAGAAGACCAGGATGGCTGGAATGGAGTGAGAGGAAGGAGAGCAGTCCAAGATAAGTCAGAGACCTCAGCCTGTTTACTAAATGTAACAGGCAACTTAGAAATTTTTCTTTTTTCTTTTCTTTTTTTATTGTGATTGGGTGAAGATTTACAGAGCAAATTCACTTTCCATACAGCAGTTCACATATACTTTGTCTCATGACACTGACCAGTTTACCACAATGCAACAGCTCCCCTCCCACTTCCTCCCCATAGTTACCTCTTCCCAGTGACCATCCCTCCATGGACTCCTGCCCCCTGAGCT